CTCCAGCAGGGCGCTCTGGGGACGCACAGGGCCCTGCTGCCCTGGAAACCAAGCCTGATCCAGGGGAGCATCCAGAACAAGGACTGGGTTACGACCGCCTGGGCAACGGAGCAGGTTAGACTCCGCCCCACCCCCACCCTGCCGCGGAGTCTGCAGGGCAGGACCCGCTGCTCCGACAAATAGTGGTTTTAAAACAGAACGGGGCTCGAGGAGGAGACAACCCAGGGGGCTCCTCGAGGTCCTCACTCCAACGGTCTGTGGAGGTGCACTTTGGGGACAACTGAGGACATTTGAATATGCAAATATTAATTTTCTTAGCGTGGTAATGCCCCTGTGGTTATATAAAGAAAAAATGTCTTTATCCATTAACAAATAAAAAATAAAAACAGTCTCAGGAACAAACAGAGCGAGCTTTGGGAAGTTTCTCCTGGGACGAGGAAGGGAGAAATGGAAGCTGAAGCCTGAGGTTCCCAGCCCCGTGACAGGCTTGGAGCCACGGGTCCCCCGGGGTGGCGGCACAGCCAGCCAGGCACTCACGTCCCACTCTGCGCCCATGCCTGGGGGTGGGGTTGGAGGGCTTGGAGTGGCCCCGGGTCAGCAGGCCATGCAGAGCCCTGGCTCGGGGAGCAAACTTGCCCGAGGACAGCCGGGTGTTGTCCGAAACAAGCAAAGGAGGGGCGTCCTGCATGGCAGGAGCTCAAGGGGGTTCGCCCAGTGGGAGGGAAGCCAGGCGATTGGGGCATGAAGGGGGAGGGGAGAGGTGCTTCTGGGACACCGTGAGCCGCCTGGGAGGCAGGTGCCTGGCGGGCAGTTAGACAGGGACGGAGGCCAGGGCTGTCGCCAGAGATGTGGGGCCACCGTCACTGCCGCTGAAGGCGAGGCTGGGACCGCCAAGCCCAAAGGAAAGGATGTCTGTGTCCTACTCCAGGACACTCTTCACACAGGAAAGCTCAGACTCTTAGATTTTTTTTTCAGTATGTTTAAATGTGGTAAAATACACATGACATCCAATTGCCCATCTTAACCATTTTTAAGTGCCCAGTTGAGTGGCATTAAGTACCTTCACGTTGTGCACCCATCCCCACCATCCATCTCCAGAGCCCCTCCCACCAGCTCCCAGGCTGCTTTCTGTCCCTAGGAATGTGACGGCTCCAGGGACCTCACAGAGGTGGCATCACACAGTCTGTGTCCTTCTGGGGCTGGCTCACTCCACTGAGCAGAACGTCCTCAGGGTTCATCCATGTTGTAGCCTGTGTTGGAACTTCCTTCCTTAGTTTTTAAGGATGAATAATATTTGATTGTATGTCTAGACCACATTTTGTCCATCCGTTCCTCATCTGCTGAGAGACGCTTGGGTTCCTTCCACCTCTTGGTTATTGTGCTACAATGCTGCTGTGAACATGGGTGTGCAAATACCTCTCTTCCTCCCTGCTTTCCATTCCTTTGTGTATATATCCAGAAGTGGAATTGCTGGATTACATAGTAATTCTCTCTTTAACTTTCTAAGGACCACAATAGTGGCTGCACCAATTCCACACTCCGACCAGCAGCTCACGAGGATTGCACCTGCTCTGCACCCTTGCCCACACTTGTAAGCCCAAACTCTTCTAAGACCTTGCCTCGGACTACCCCAGACAGTCTGTCCATGGGTGCTCGGAGGCTGCAGAGGAAAGAGGGATGAACTGTTGGTGGGAGTAGGTGGATGGCAGTGGATGGTGTCAGGGGGTGGGATGGTGGGTGGGTACGATGGCTGGAACAGTGATGGATCAGTAGTTTGGTGGAGGGTTGATGGGGTGGAAAAGTAGAGATGGTATCAGTCAGGCTGGTGTGACTGGGAAACTCTGGCAAGTGCATGCCCATCCCCAGCCCTGGAGGTCCTCCACCGCAGCTATCTTGTGACAAACACTTCTGGGTTAGGGACCCAGATGCTCGGTCCTCCAATCTAGGCTCAGCAGCAATGCCCCTCATGGCCAGAGATGTGGAACTGCCCCCTGTCAGCCCCAGGTGGGCCCCACCTGTCACTTGGCAGGGCTCATTAGTATTTGGATGGCCTCAGGCCAGGGCTGTCCTTCAGCCAAGGTCACATGGGAAGCAGGAGCTGTGGACACAGGACTCAGGCATTTAAAGTGCATTTCAAGTGGGCAGTCAGCAGGTAACTATGAGCCCCCTGGGAAACGACTGGATGATCATAGGGATGCCCCAGGCACCTCAGACAATCTGTCCATTCCCCCTGGTGTTCTGCACAGACACAGGCAGAGCTCGCAAACTGTACAAGACACCCTCCTCCATGCACAAGCAGTTCCCTACAATTTGCAAAATGCTGAGATGCAAATGGACTGAACCCCTTTTCCCACTAGGCATGTGATCTGTGTCTGGCCACTCAGAGACCCTCATCCTTCAGGCCAGAATGTTTGGTTCAAATAGAGACATGTGCCCTACAGTTAGCCCCTGAAATCCCCATCCAGACATGGGCTGACCAGAGCCACTGATTTTCCATTGTGTTTGCTAAACTGGCAGGACTACCACTGCTTATTGGTGACCCATAACAGCCCCATGGGAAGAGCCTGCCTGAGAGTGAACCCATACAGAAGACAGAGGGAGAAGGATTCCTCACCACTACATGGAGCCCCTGGATGCAGCCATGCCTGAAGCGAGATACACCCTTGGACTTTCCTATGGCATGAGGCAACCAGTTCACTTGGATGCTTTAAGCCATTTAGATCAAGGTTCTGTCATTTATAATGGAAAAGACCACCCAGCAAATATGCTTGGGTATCTCTTAGAGTGCTTTTCAGCTGGACTCAGCAATGATGACTGGAAAGTCGATTTCTCAAACTAAGTAATATGACCCCATGTGAGTTGGTAGACAGTCTGAATCTGAACCCTGGCACTAGTGTCGACAGCCCCGAATCTGTGGGCGACCTCTTTTCCCCAGGTCCTCCTCTGCAGGCTGGGGCTGACAATGCTACCAGCGTGTGTTATCTGTACAGTCTGGGTTCTGCTGCAGAAACACCAGTTCCCCAAAGGCCTGTGTCTAGCGCAACTGAGCTTTGTTCTGCGCTCATGCCATGGGGCCATGGCAGGCTGGCTGGAGGAGGCTCTCCAGAATCCTCACTTCAGGAGGACTGGATGCCCAGCCCAGATGTGACCCAAGCCACTTCCACTGAGAACCTGATGATCGGAACCAGTCGTGTTGGCTTGCCCTGCTCATTTTCAGAAAAACCACACATGCCCACAAGTGACACTGTCTGAGGGCTGCTGGTTCTCCAGGAAGGGCCCAAAGGTGTGTAGGGGGTATGCAGAGGGGCCAAGGTCCCTTGGGGACATCTGCTGCTCTAGTCCAGTGGCTGCCAAATGCAAATCAGAGCCTTACCCCTCTGCCACCCAAAGACACCCCCATCAACATGCACTTTTTGGCACAACAGGCAAGACTGGTATTAATAGCTGATGGTTTTCATATTCCCGATGAGCCACAGTGCCGAGCAATCAGGAGGCGCCTGCCTCCCTGCCGCACTGTGCCCAGGGTGTAATTATGCTTGATCACCGCACACTGAGCACTGATTGCGGTTCAGAGATGATCGCACACTTTCAGGCTGGTGGGGCTGGAGGCCTCCGTGGCCTGTCGAGGGTAATTGAGGCAGAGCTGATTGTGCCGGAAAGCTGGAGGGGGCTGAGCCATGAGAACAGGCCACGTCACACCCCAAATGGGACCACATTTGCTAAATTTATTTCTGATGCGATTTCGTGGTGATTACACCAATTCCATCTTTAGTAATTGAACCTGGCGCTAAGCTCACTGCCTGCAGCCCTGGCTGTCAGGAAGGGCCTGTTTAAGAGCAAGAGGTACTGATGATGATCTATGGACCTCTTGTCTGGGCCCTTGGAATGGAACCAAGCACAGGAAGGCTGGCTGCTGCGCTGCTGGGGTACTCTGGGCGCCCCCCTCCTGATACACTGTGGCCTGCTTCTAGTCCAGCTTTGTCACCACCACGCGGCCTTGGGAACACCTGTGTGCCCCTCAGCTCCCACGTAGGGATGACCCCTGCCTCACACAGGTCTGAACCAGCTCATGCACCAGCCATGCTTACGCAGTGGCTGAACAAGTGGTCAGTGGTCTTAGTCCCTCACTGCTGGGATCAGCCTGGAGATCAGGCACAGGGCAGGTGCCCCCTTTGGGGAGGCATTGCACGTCCCCCCCAGACACAGGCCCGCCTCATCCGAATGGTCACGTCTGAACAGCACACCCACTCTCAGGGCAGGCCTGCCCAGAGCCATATGCTGGCAGAGGCTGCACCAGCTTTTTCCCTCAGAAAAATATGTCAAATTCTCACTGGCTGGAACACGTGTCTGTATTAGAAAAGCCAACATTGCCCAAACTGGGTTCCTTGGTTGCTAGACTCCCCACAAAAGAGTGCTCCTAGCCAGGAAAGTCTGGGAAACCAGCTCCAGCTCTTTGCTCAAGGTCAGGTCTCAGGACTGTGGCCTCAGGTCACCAGAGCACCTGGGGGGCCCCGGGCTCCAGGATGGGAACCTGCGTTTTAACAAGGCTCCCAGGAAGCAACTGCTCTCAGCCTGGGGCTCACAATCCTGCTGCACAAGAACCACCTGGGAAAGGTATACTGTGTGCACCCCTGGACAACAGGACCCCGAGGGGCTCTGGCACTGATTTCCCATCTCAGCCAGAAGTTCCAAAGTACCTCTTGGTGCACAGCCCCCAGATTCCCAGCACCCGCCAGTCTAGTGACCCGTCACCAGGGTCAGTTGCCACAAGGGTGGCCAAGGATGTGCCCCTGTGGCCCCTTCTGGGGGATGCTACACTGAAAGCCGCTGGCACACGAGCCCCAAGGGCAGGAGCTGCCCAGAGCGGGGATCCACCTGCAGCCCAGGGGGCCAGCCTTATGCCCTGGCCATGAGGCGCTGCCCCCTCCCAGCAAGGAGAACCGGGAGCCAAGAGCTTTAGCAAAAATGTTTAATCTGTCCTTAATGTGTGTGTATTTACAAGTACTAAATCTGGAGAACAGTAAAATAGGAAATAGCCATTTATTTACACAATCCGGGGACCAAGCACCCTGCTGGCATGGTGCTCCTGTGGGAGACCATGGCCCAGGGGCAGCTCAGGCCGGCCGAGCGAGTGCTCTTCTTTTGGGTGGGGGCTCTGTGGCATTAAAGGACAGCTAATTGTGGGCTTTGTCTTAAAAATATCTTTCTCTCTACATACATCTATTCTAGCTTGTGTAGCACCAACGACGTGAGCCATCAGATCCGGAACTGGGGGACCAAGGGGCAGATGCTCTCAGCAAGGCGGAGCCAAGGGAGGGCATCTCCATCTCGGCCCCCCAGGCCCCTCTTCCACAGCCGCCCCGCCCCAGCTCCTCGGGCCAGGGAGAAGCAGGCAGAGCCCCAGTGGCCTCGAGTCAGGAAGCGCAGGGCAAGCTCGAGGTATATGGAGAGGCCAGGCTCCCAGATGGAGGCGTGAGCTGTCCCAGGCCCTCCTGAGATGCATGCAGGGAGGGGGAAGCAATGGGCAGCAGGTGGAAGGGGTGGCCCACGGCAGGGCCAGTGATAGCAGCAGTGTCTGGGGCAGGCCAGGTGTCCTTGCACCCCGCACTGGACCCCCAAGCCCTGGGGCTGCAAGGCGGCCTTCAGGACAATCACACCCACCCTCCTTGGGCAGAGCAGGGCCCCAATGCTGGGCTCCTGCCAGGCCCGTCCCCACCCAGGCCAGGCCAGAGCTTGGGGCAGGAGCTGCTGCAGGAGGACACTGAGGTGGCAGAGGGGTACCTGCATACAGCACCTGGAGTTGGGAATGCTGTGGGGCTAGGGGCAAGGAGAACGCAGAGCCTGAGTCCACAGCTAGCAGGAAGAAGGGGCAGGAAGCGCTGTCCTGGTCGGGGGCAGGCTGGGAATTGGCTCCATAGCTCATGTGTAAACAGATGCTGCTAAAGTGCTTGCCCCTGACCAGCTGTGCAATCTGTGGTGGGCACACACCCTGTCTGGACTCTACCCTGCCTCCTCTGTCCCCTCTGCCCTGCCCAATGACCACCCAGTGACAAGACATGGCAGCTGAGAGGGGTGAGAATGGGGCCCTACCCTCTGCAGGGGCCAGGAAGCCAAAGGAAGGGGCTTTAACTGGATTCTGAAGAGGCCAGCACAGCGGGGTGAGGAGCCCCATCCTGACCTGTGTGGAACTGGAAGAACAGGAGCTTCAATTAGAAGCCAGTATCCAGGGAAGACTTTGGGGAAAACAGGCTTGTGCCTAGGCACAGCCAGGTGGCATCACAGGGGAGGCAGGTGTATTCCCAGGGACAGGAATCCAGACTAAAGCCAAAGAAACAGCCAGGTCTCTGACCTGACCATCCTCACCTCTGGCTGCCCAGGGACGAGCCCCTGGAGGCCATGCAGGGGGAAGGCCTTCTGCAGCAGCAGGAGGCCTGAGCTCTGCTCTGTGGTCACAGGCGCCAAGGGACACCATGCCCCCCGGTCCCAGGAGCTCTTGGATTTCACACCGCTCCCCCATGCAAGGGAACAGCCCTGACCTGACCTCCAAGGTGTGCAGTCTGGCTCACGCTGCTTAGGAGGCAGCCCATGGGCACAAGACTGGCCACAGTTAGCTGTCCCTTAAAGTCTGCGGGGATCTTTAGTACCGTCAAAAAAGTGAACTTGAAAAGAGGGGGGGCCGCTTCACAAGTGACTGATTAATTAAAAAACATAAAAAAAGGTCTAACAACCTCTAGTATTCAACACTTGCAGTTTTAAAAGATCAAGTCAGACTACACGCTAGCACAGTCATGCAAGAATCCACGGGCCCCGCACCCTAGAAGCTCTCGGGGGGCCCGCGAGAAGGTCTCTTTTTACGTCAGAACAAAAATGGAGTGACCCGCAGGTAGAGGGGCAGAGGCCTGGGGGTGCCCCACTTGGGGAAACTGGCCACTTTTTCCACGACCATTTGGTATTGCTTTCCCACTGTCTTAATTGTCTTATTCTAAATTGTAAAATTTCTCCTCCAATTAACTATACAGGACCCCACTGGGGCTGGAGACTGAGGCTTGAGCCACACACATATATATATATATGTATATATATATATATATATATATATNCAGTTTTTTTTTTTAATTAAAAATTTGTTCTCTCTTGCTCACTGAGGAGAGGATGGCCACTGCTGACCTCTGGCCCTCTGGTCACTAGCTCCCAGCCAGGCCAGCAGGTATGGCCCCAGGGCCTGGCCACGGCCCTAGCTGCCCAAGCAGAGTGCAGCAGGATTTATTTGTTCCCCCTTAAAAAACCAAAAGCAGTCCCCCAGATGTCCCACTGCTCAGGAGGCCAGCAGTTGCAGAGATGCTGGACCGGAAGCTGCTGGAAGGCGATGCGGAAAGCAGGGCCACAGAGAGGGCGGGAGGAGAGTGGCCGGGCTGCCCTGCCACCTCCAGAGTTGAGAGCTCAGCCCAGGGAGGCGCCGGGAGCAGGCGCAGCAGGGGAATAAATAACGGGAACGTGCACTCCTGACCTGGAGCCCCAGGCCCCAGTGGTTCCCAGAGGCACAGCCCTGAGGACAGAAAGGGTATCACCAAGTCCTTCTGGAAGTCACTTGGGACCTGCAAGCAGAACCTTCTGGCAGCCCCTCCACAGGAGGGAGCTGGGGCCTCTCTCTGGGCTAGGTCAGCGTGGCACTCCGGCCCGGCCGCGGAGAGCACGCGGTGAATCGGACGATGGTAGTGATGGTGCAGCAGCGAGCGTGGGGGCGCCGCCCCAGACCGACTTTGGCTCCCCTTGGCTGGGCCCTGGGCCTCAGAAACTGCCCAGGAAGCCGGCGAGGGCTGTCCTCTCCCAGCTCCTTGTCCTGGCCCTGCAGGCCCTGCAGCCCCTCCCAGCAGCTCCAGCCTCACCCCCAGGTCCTCAGTGGCCCCCAGGAAGGCCCCTGCCGCACCTGGACTCCCCAGCCCTGCGATGAGCAGCTCTGGGCACGGCAGGCATGGCAGGCCCCAGCTCACCCACACCAGTAACTGGGACACCGCCGGGGAGGGGAGGGGAGGGGAGGGCCAGGAGAACGCCGGACTGCGCAGCCACCCCAGCGCACAGGCACTCGGCACAGTGGGGCGAGGCTGTCCCTGCGGACCTCCCAGCTCTGGCTGCTGGACACAGGCTGCCCCACGGGCCCTCTTGCTCAGCTCCTGCTGGGCGCCATCGCTGCTCAGCTGCTCAGGGCCATCGTGTCCACCACCTGCTCCAGCTTGCTCCGGAGCCGCTGCCGCCGAGCCTGCTCGTCCTTCTCCAGGGCCGTCAGGATCTGCAGAGGTGGGCGGGGGCATCAGCAGGCCTGGCTGGGGCCACCTGCTCACGTGGCACATGGCACACCAGGGGTGCAGGCCGGGACCCGGCTTGGCAAGGGCTCTGGAGCAGACGCCAGGTCCCAGGCCCTTCCATTCTCCTCTGAGGGCCCTGGGTTTTGAGCTTGGATCTCCAAGACGCTTGGGTGAATGCGTTCCCCCACGTCACCATTCCTACCCCTGGTCCCCAGGACACAAACCCCAAACAGGGCCCTGGTCATGGCCAGCACTTCATGACCCCATGGTACAGTGTCCCCACTGACAGAGCATGGCCACAGCCCTGGTCCCTGCCCCCCTCAGCCCCCTCAGCACCTAGCATCAGATCACAGGTCTGTCTCAACCCCAATGGCCCGTCTCACTCAGGGAAAAGCCCCAGGCCCCTGAGGCCTGCGTGCACAGTGATGGGTCCCAGCCTCAGTCTTGCCCGCCTCCTCCTGGGGGCTTTGATTCAGCCCCGGGCCTGAGTGGCCCTATAACCAGGCCTATGTGGCCCCGAGGCCCTGGCATGCTCTGGCTGTGCCCATTCTGCCTCTGCAGCCCTATGTGCACCATCCAGTTTGGTCTGTGAGTTGGTGCTCGCTCCCTGGGCGTCTCAAGGAACCCCAGCTCTGTGCACAGAGATGCCAGGGTGGCTTCCCAAAACCTCCCAACAGGTCAGCAGAAAAGATGAGGAAGTTGAAGGGGCTGGCGCCCTGCCCTGGAGATGCCTACCCAGGCCCATAAACCTGATAACAGCTCTTGGGGATCATCCTCTCCACCTCAGGAAGACACTACCACCTGCTTCCTAACGTGCACGGCCTTCCACGCTGACCAGAAGCATACTTCCTGACCTGCTGCAGCCCAACCCAGCCCTGCCAGGCCAGCAGAAGTCATGACAGCATTCCCTGCCCCAGTGAAGTGGCCCACTGGGTGCAGAGGGGAGAGGCTGGCAGGGCAGGGGAGGCAGCAGGGCCCCGTGCAGGGCTGAGCAGGGCAGTGTGGAGGGCCAGCACGCATGCCCACCTCGTCCTTGTACTTGGCGATATAGGAGTAGATCTCGTGCAAAGCGCTCATGCTGTTGAAGTGGCTCAGGTGCAGCCGGGACTGTTCCGCCAGGTACGCACTCATGTCCTGGTCGCTGATGGCAGGCATCTTGGCAATGTCGGCATAATACCTGCGGGCAGGCGGGGCAGGGATGTGAGCCAGGCCCTGGCCCCCGCCCGCCTGCCCACCTGCCCGCCCCTAGCCGGCCTCACCTCTCCACCCAGCTCTTGTAGCTGGGAATGTCCTTGGCGTAGAGCAGCTTGTTGGATGGTGAGTCCTTGCCCAGCTTGTGTTCGGATGTGGAGCAGGAGTCCATGAAGGTCTGCGCCACCACCGACAGGCAGGCGTCCGTGATGCTGCTCTTGTGGATGTCGAAAACAAACTGCGGGTTCTTTATCACATTCACCCAGAAGCGCAGAGGCAGGCTGTGGGGGGGTGCAGATCAGATGGGGCCTCTGCGCCCCTTCTGGATAGCAGGGGAAGGGGCCAACCAGGGCCTCACAGCCCTCCTGGCTCTGCCTTCACAGTGGCCATGGATTTCCATGCACACGGGGAAAGAGCCCCAGAGGAGGTGGGGCTCTGAGTGAGTGAGGCTGTCTCTGGCCACCCAGCCCTTCCTAGAGAGCCCTCGGTCACACGTGGGCAAGATGCCCAGACCAGAGGCACTCCAGCACCCTTGGGTGCCCTTGGTGCACAGCCACGGTCCTCCCAGGCCTGCATGCTTGCTCACATCAGGGGTCACCTGAACCACCACCCCACCCAGGTGGGCCCTGCCAGCAAGACCAGGAATGGTAGAGGAGACATAGCCCCACCCACAGCCCACTCCTATACCCAACACACCACGTCTAACACAGCTGTTGGCCGGGCTACCTGACAGCCACCAGCCACTCAGGGCTGTTTAAATTTGGATTAAGTAAAATTAAATGAAGATAAAAAATTCAGATTCTTAGTTGCAGTAAACACATGTAAAATGCTCAGTAGCCACACATGACTGGCAGCCACTATGGGCAGCACAGATCTAGAACATTCCATCATCACAGGAGGTTCCCCGGATGGTGCTGAGCTATGTGACGCTGCCTACCTCTGGCACCCCGGGGAACCCCCTCAAGGGGGCCCACATGCAGCACGGGCAGAGCTGGATGGCTAGGGCTGCCTCCCAGGCTTGGATGAGCAAGTAGAGGCTGGAGTGCTGGGAGGGTGAGACCACCAGTGGACAGCACGGAGATGCACAGGACCTTCTGAGAACAGCCTAGCTAGGCTGCCCCTACTGCCCACAGCCTGCTGGGAGCAGGGCTGAGCGCCAGCCTCAGGAGGAAGTCTCCACACACCCCTCCCCCCACCCCACAGGTACCAGTTGCTCTTCCAGGTGTGGCGCACGTCTGAATCGTGTATCTGGTGCTGGTCAGCCTGCTCATCCAGGAAGTCAAACATGTATTTGATGGCCAGTGGCAGGGCTGAGCCCCGGTGTGCGGTGCTGAAGATGGTCTCAAAAAGGTCATCCACAAACTTCTGCAGCGTGCCCTGCAGGAGGCAAGGACACAGAGCTCCAGGGCCCCCACCAGGCTGGCCCTCGCCTCCCAGCTGACCCAGGCCCGCAGGACCGCAGGAGGAGTGTGAGCATGGGAGACTTGCTCCAAGCTCAGTCTTCTAAGGCCTGGACCCAGCCGTTCCCGCAACCCCACCGCCCACCCACCAGGACTGACCTTGGTGGCCAGCAGCCGCGTCAGGTAGATCTCTGAGACCATCTTGCTGCCACGGTCACCCTCCCGCTGGTCCAGGTGGTCGTGGTTCTTGACCAGGTGCCACAGCTTGGTGCCACTCTCCAGGTCAGGCGTGATCATGGGCGTGCGTGAGCGCAAGCTGTCGGGGCTGCTGGCTGTGCGCAGCATGCTCTCTGTGGGCACCGTGCACATTAGTGGGCAGGCCCTCCACACCTGGCGCCCACCCCTGGGTGGCCAAGGGCCAGGCAGCTCTCCTGAGCCTCGGTTTCCTCATCAGCAACCTGGGCTCACCAACCCCACCTCCCAGGTTGTTGGGGACACACAGTGACACTAGGGAAAAGGCATAAATGATTGTCATGTGCAGGAACATGCTGTCCAGGGAGAAGGGCAGCTCAGCCCTTGAGGGTAAGGCCAAGGTCCAAGGGACAGGCTGTGACAGGTCCTTCCCAGCCTGCTGCAGCAGAGGCATTCTGCCCGCCCAGCCCACCAGCCCCTCACCGTATCTACTGAGGGACTTGGTGAAGGTGGACGAGTTAGAGATATTGTAGGCGGATGTCTGCTTGGGCACAAGGGCCACTGAGGACCCATCCGTCACCTGCGGGCAGAGGGCCAGATGTGTGACCCACTGTCAGGGCCAGGATGACAGCCAGCCCCTCTCATTCCGTACCCAAAGGCCAGTCACCTCACCGAGCCTCAGTTTCCCCACTGGAGCACCTCCAGGGCTGTGTGAGGCCTGGGATAGTCACATACGTGACCCCTTTCCTCCTTGAGATCTGCCACCCACCCACTGCCCAGGGACCTGGATACCAGTTTTCACACTGCCCAGAGCCCCAAGCCGTGGCCAGAGAGTTGGAGGCTGGGGTCACCTGGTAGTGAGCCAGCGTGTTCAGCCTCTTCCAGTCGTTGTCAATCTTAGTGGTGACATCTTCATCCTGCAGGATGATGCGTGCCATGCGGCCCTGGCGCCACTCTGAGAGGGAGGGGAGCTCTGGAGGACAGGCCACCCTGCAGGTGCTGCCCACCGTCCCTCCAGGATCTCGGCGTTGGGGGCGGGAGGGAAGGATGGAGTGGGTGGCGGGTCACAGATGTCCTGTGGGCACCCAGTGGAGGGTGCCAGTGGAATAAGCAAGGGACTGGGGCTCCTCCCTCCCTCCCAGCAGCCAGTGTGAAGCGCCTGCCCTTGCAGCTAAGCCCTGCGCCCCTCTGCTGCCTGACCCCTGGTCTGCCCTGCCTTCCCAGGCTCTCGACCCCTCCTCAGCCTGGCACTCAAGGCCGGCACAGTGCCCCACAGCCTCTCCAGCCACATCTGCCACAGGACTCCCAGGCCCCAGGCCGCCTCCGCCTCCTCTGGGCCTCCCTGGCTTGGTGGGTGCCACCTCTGTTGGACTCTCAAGCCCAGTGCAGCCGCAGCTCCAGCGGCTCACCCCTCCTGGAGTGCCTGGGAACCCACCACCCACTTCTCCGTGGTGGGGCAGCAGCCTCTGAGCATGCCCCCTGCTCCCCACTCCTCCCCACGTCACAGCCCTTCCTGCAGACCCCTCCCCATGGCCTCCAGCACCCTCCAGACTAGGGTCCCATGCCCGGCCTGTAAGGTAGGCCCGGCCTGGACTTCCTGGCCACTCTTGGCCCCCGTGCTGCTCCTTGGCCCGTGCTGCTCCTCGGCCGGGCACGCGCAGGCCCAGTGCCCAGCCCCCGCGGCCACACTGCCCCGGGATCGGGGCCCCAGACTCACCCAGGTCCATGTCCGCGGCCTTGGGCCTCTGGGAGTAGGGCACGCCCTTGTACACAGCGTCCAGCAGCTTCTCCTTCACCTGCGTCACTGTATCGCAGTTCAGTCCCTTGACTGGCACCTCAGGCGCATTCTCGTTCTCGGGGTTCACACAGTTGAGGGTCTGCAGGCGGGGAGGGTGAGACGTCAGCCCTCGCGTCTGCGGGGGGCGCTGAGGACAGCGCCGGGGAGGGCAGGGCCGGGGAGGGCGGGCCCCCGGGAGGGCGGGCCCCCTCACCAGCGTCTTGTAGTCGATCTGCTGCCGGATGAGCTTGTCCTCGCTCAGGGAGTAGCGCGCCTCGCCCGTGATGGCGTCGATGGGGCCCTTCTCCATCTGCTGCTTGATGGCGCAGTAGAGCATGAAGAGCGGCTCCCCGGCGCACTCCTGCGGCAGGGGGCGCGGCAGGCTGCAGCGGGACCCCAGTGCTCTCCGCCCATACCCCAGTGTCAGCACAGTTCCCGCAAGGAGAAACGCGCAAGGCTTCCAAATCTTTTCGGGGAGGCAAGTAGAACCTCTGGTTCTGGAGCCCAATGAAGACGGTGAGACAGAACAAACAAGCTAAACAACAGGCCTGCTGCTCCCATGAACATCTGTGTGGAAATCCTCACACAGCCTTACCCAGGGGGGCCAGGAGCACATCAGTGAATATGCCGTGGCCAAGTGGGGTTCATGCCAAATACCAAGGCTGGTTGGCTCTGCCCTGAAGTCTCTCCCAGACCCGGCCTCAGAGGGACCACCACACCAGTCCCCAGCCGATGCCCCAGTGCCACCCACTAGAGCCTCACTGAAGCAGCCAGCCCCACACTTGGGACAAAGTCCAGGCTCCCAGGTCCAGGGCAGCTGCCCAGCACCAAGGGGCCCGGGAGTCCACAGCCAAGGCCCTGTCAGGCAGCTCCCAGCACTGGGCAAAGGTCTGGTCTGCCCTGCCTCTACCACTCACCCTCTGGCTCCCCACACGGCAGCATTGAAGGCCACCTCCTACTCCTACAACCAGGCCCCTCCCACCTCAGGGCCTTTGCACCTGCTGTCCCTACAGCCTGAAATCTCTCCCTCAGATCTTCAATGTGGACCAGAGCAGCCCAGATGAGTCTCAGGTAAGCCTCAGGCACCAGGTCAGGCGGGTTCGGCCTGGCTGCGTCAACCGAGTGGCCCAGGGCCAGCTGCTCCTACTTAGCCATACGGCAAGGGGCAAATAAGCACTGGGAATAGGGCAGGGCTCCGAGTAGATGCAAGTGAACTATGGCCCTGCTCAGCTCCTCCAATGGGACCTCACTGAAGATGACAGAGGATGAGGTGCCAGCTTGGTCTCAGCCCTCCTTCCTGCCCCCTCCACCAAGCCTGGCTCCTGCCTACCTCCATTTGCCACCCCTCCACAAAGTGGCACCTGCCCACCAGCCCCAAGCATAGCTCCCAGACTGCCCTGCATCCACCAGTTTCTGCCTGCAACCTCCTGCACGGGGCATGTTCAAGATGACCTGCTGCCAAGCGATACAGAGAATACACACCCAGCCCAGGTTCTCAGACCAGATTTTTTAAACTGAGCCCCACTTCTCTGGGTGCACAGAATGGGGCTCAGACAGGGATCAATTCAACCAAGATGGCTGGAACCCAGCTGGTTTGTTCTCCACACCTCACTTCTTGTCGTTCACGAGCACCTTTCAGTGAGCACGTACATACTAGCATGGTCTTCACAGAAGGACACTCTGACAGAGAATGCACAGCTCTGCACTAGTGACCAAGAGTTATACATGAGGACACACCATTGTATGCTGGGCACTCATCACATGGCCAGGATTTGGGGATTGCTTATCATCTCCCAGGGTGGCCCTGGGGGACCAGCGCCCCCCAGTCCAACTCCCCCACCCCTCCCACAGACCTCAGGGCATCTGCTCCCTCGGCCTGGCTGACTCTTTCCCTCCCTTCACACCTTTGCTCAAACCTCTCCACCCCGTCCACGCTGCTCACCCCCCTCCACTAATACCCCACCTTTCCTCCCAGTCCTGCTTTCCCTTCTCCACGTCTCTCCCCAGCCAGGGCAGGACTCTGCTCTGGGCACCTGGGAGCCACAGTGGCCTGGGCCTCAGAAGCAGCCTGTGTGGAGGACCTCAAGCCCCACTGCTGTCCCCAAATCAGTAAGGATGCCGAGAGCTGAGGCCCATGGCTAAGGAGCAGCCTTGGTGAAATTCAAATCTGGGCCACCCTCAGCAGCCATCAGGCTCCACGGCCCATTACCTCCTCCTTCCACAGAGTGCCCCAGGGCCACAGAGACCAGGTGGGGGCACACAGGGACTGCACACACCAGAATCCACCTGAGGCCACCACCCCCACCTTGAAAGACCACGGGCCAATCTATCACGCCTTCAGATTCCCAAGGGAACCCAGACAACCAGGTCTGGATGATCTCCCAGTTTCTCAAGTGCAGGGGACCAGTCCCACTACTTAGACCCTGAACAAAATCCACCTGGGCTCCCGTCCTCCCTCCGCCCTATTCTGAGGATGGCCACAGGTCTCCAGGACACATCTTGTAGGGAGGGGGCTTTCCCCAGCCTGAGCAGGGGCTTGTCTACACAACCACAGGGGAAGCCTAAGCAGCCACCCCCTCCCCACACTGGGACCTGCCTCCCGGCTGGCCCAGCACTGGTGCTGGACACACACAGGCCCCTACCCCAGGATCCCCATCCGTCCTTAGCCCCAGGCTGGGGGCACAGTGCAGAGACTGGGCCTGGACCCGCACTCCAGCTCAGCCGGACAGCTCCAGGAGGACCAGGGCCGAGGGGTGTGTGTCCCGGGGAGCTCAGGCTAAGATGCCACACCCCATCTGAGCCCCTCTTGGCTGAACCCCCAACCTTCCGGTCTCCCCTTTCCCTCAAAGTCATCACCTGCCCCCAGCACCCCACCTTAGACCTTCTCTCTTCCTGGGCGCCCACCTACCTTGAGGAATTTGTACAGAAGGAAGGTGAACCAGTTGGTCAGCATCTTTTCTGCCACTGACTCGGTCCTAGGGACAGAACACAGACGGGGTGACACCCCTCCTGCCGTCAGGCCCACTGCCATGCCCACCCCCAGCCCCAGCTGAAGGTCGGGCCCTGAAACCCACAGGGATCAGGCAGCTGGGGGGCTGGGACAGAGGCCCCAGCATCTGTCCCCAGAGCCAGGCCTCCAAATGGGACAACTCAGGCAGGACACCGAAAGGCCCCAAACAAGGCACACCCCAGGATGGGGTATCCATGCCCGACACGCCTGGGTCCCACTACCAACTGGGCAGAGGAGGCTGAGGCTCCCAGACTTGCAAGGGCAGCGCCTCTGGGCTGGGCACCCCACAGGCCTCTGGCATCTGCAGGCACCCGCAGGCTCACCGCCGCAGCAGCAGCTTGGGGTGGTTCTTGCTCTCTAGGTTCTTCTCGATGAGGTCAGACAGCAGCTGCTTGAGTACACCCGTGGCATACTCCATCTCACCCTGCAGGGCTGTCATCACGAGTGAGGCCACGTTGCCACGGTCGCGCATGGAGAAGCCACGCTGGGCCTCCAGAGTGCGGATGAAGGTCAGCAGGAAGTGCTTCTTGGTCAGCAGCTGCCCGAACAGTGTCAGCGACTTCTCCACATTGGCCTGCACCTGGCAGGGCGGGGGATGGTCTGGGGTGAGGGGCAGCAGGGGAAGGCCCTCTAGCTGCGGGGCTGGCCGGGCCAGGTGTACCCCTGGGGGCAGGGGACATGTCACCCGACAGGTCCCTGGGCTTCAACTGTCCTCAGTGGAATGGATGTGGCCTGGCAGCTGCCAGAGAAGCCCACCACAGGCAGAGAGCCCTAGTGTTGCTGGGGTTGCAGAACAAGGACCTCTGCAGCCAGAACCTGGGGCCGGTACCTCTGGCAGCCGGCTTAGCAGCTCAGAGGGGGCTGAACTCCATGCCCCATCCACTGGGCACCCCATGTGCACGTCTGTTGTCTCATTCTACTTTCACAACAGCCACCCATGCAGAAGCCACCCTCCTTCACAGAGGATGGCACTCAAGTCCACAGAGGGAAGGGGCTTGTTCAGGGCCACATAGCATGGAGGTGGAAAAACAGGGTGGAACACAGGCATGGCTGGCTCCAGGGCCCCTGCTCACTCTCATCCACACCAAAGCTTGTGCGGGTAAGAGGTTCCCTACCAGCCTGGGTCAGAGGCCGCAGTGATGCCTGGCTCCCAGTCCAGGCAAACAAGGGACAGGGCCCAGGTAGGACACACAACCACAATGCTGAGACCAACAGAGGGAATGGCAACCTTGGGCAGGAGGCCCGCCTGGGGAGCATGTGGAGTCCCTGGCACAGCAGCCATCCCAGGGGTGGAGGTGATGAGCAGACCAGGACAGCCCTGGGCCCAAGCCTCCAAGACAGGAAGGCCAGTTCAAGTTCAGCTCAAGAGAGACCATCCCACCAAGGCAGCCACATGGTGGGTGGGTGCCCAACACCCAGGATGCAAAGATGGGACACCCCTGGCCGCAGAGCATGGCAGAGCAGACTGTGAGCCTCTATCTATTCCCAGCTGGGGACTGGGCTTCTGGCCTGCACTGGGGTCCCCTTGGGGACCAGCTCTTTTCCCCTTAGCAGGCTTGTGCCAACAGCCTGGGTGCCACCAACATCTGCAGGGCAAAGCCTGGCTCTCTGAGCCTCCACACTGTATGAGCCACAGGCTGTCCCCTAAAGAGCCACGCAGACCCCAGCTGGACACCTGTACCTCCCAGATACACGGCAGCTGACCCCCACCCAGAAAGCTCGACATCTGTACCCAGGAGGTAGGCCAGGTGTGCTGCAGGTGGTCCGTGCCAGACTAAAGGCCCAACGAGATGAAGGTGGGCCCCAGGAGCCCCGGGTGAAGGCATACAGGGAGCCGAGACCCTGCCTCCTGGTGCCCCTCCCAGCAGGCTCAGGCCCAGGCCCCTCCGGCTGCTCCCCCAGCACCCAAGGAGCCCCGACCAGCAGCCTACCTCCATTTCCTTGAGCACTGGGTGGTCCTCAATCCCAGGGAAGAGCACACGCATGGCGTACGTCCGATAGTCGAGGAAGGGGATGCCGGCACCATCCAGGTCATTGGTCAGCTCGTGGATGTCCGTCTGCAGCTCTGCAAAGGCTGTGGCCAGACAAGATGTCTAGTCAGGCCCCCCCGGCCCCCCTACACTCAGGCCTGGCTCTGCCACTTACTGGTTGGTGACCTTAAGGAAACTACTACATCTGCCCGTGCCTCAGTTTCCCTGATCCTCATGGGAAAAAACCCTGGCTGAGCTGCCATAAGATTAACCAAGACAATCACAGAGGAGTTGCTGAGACCAGGGCCAGGTTGAAGGGGCCTCCTGAACCTCACACTGGTGCTTGGGGGCACAGAAACCACGGGGCCAGCTTCTTCTGCCACCCAGGGGGTGCAGGCTGTCGGCCCCAGCTCTCCTGACCCCACATACCTGGGAAGAGAAGGCACATGGCCAGGCATGGGAGATGGCAGGAGGCAGAATCCTGGCCCTCCCCAGCCCCCGAGCTCTCCACGATGACTACTACCACCACCATGTGCGCAGCGCAGGCTGGTGGGCCCTCTACACTGCCCACCCCACTCTGGGCTGGTCTGCTTCTTTCAGAAACAAAGGCAGGCAGGGCAGGGGCAGGCCCAGATGGAACATTCCAGAGCTGTGAGGTGTCAGCCCTGCAGCAGCCTAGAGACACATTATCTGATCAGGAGCCAGAAGCCAGAAGAGCACTGGGCAGATTCTGGGGGCGCTGGCAGGTTTCATTAGCAGGGGCCTTTGCTGGGGCACGGCTTCCAGGCATCTGGCGATCTCCACATGGCGGCCCTAGGGTGCCCCCAGTCGCCTCAGTGGGCAGCTGTCCTCACCCTGAGGGAGGCCCCTACCACCAGCCCTTGCCCTGCTCAAGCCCCCACACACCTGCCAGTGTCCCGGGGTGGGCAGCTTTGTCCAGGACTGAGGGGGCTCCCAGAAGGTGGACCTTTCAGTTTTAAGACAGGTGAGGGTCCTGGGCAGCCGGGACACTCAGATCCTAGCAGAGTTAACAACCCCAAGCCAAGTCTATTACAGGCAGGAGTGGCTCCCCACAGGGCTTCAATCCCATCTGCCCCCGGCTCACTCATCTCCAAAACAGGATGTTCCGTGATCCGCCTCCCAGACCCTCAAGCCTCTGTGGGCCCATGTGACAAACACACCATCACCCCCCACACCACTGCTACTGCTCCGCTGTCCCCTCATAACAGCCCTGGGCTTCTGGGACGAGGCTCCAGGAGGCACACGGCATGCCAGGAGCCATGTCTAGGCGGGAGCCCCCAGCCCAGAGACCAGACAGGCTGGCCAGGCTTGACGGTGGCCCCCAGAGGCCAAGGCTGCTGCCTGCCGCCCGGAGTCCACGTTTGGGCACACAGGCCCTGACACAGCCCCTCAAGCAGCTACTGTACAGCCCGAGGGCTTCCATCCTAGGCCACCACGGCCCCTAGCCTCACCACCCGCTCTCTGCGGCCAGCACTCATCACCACCCACCCGCCCACTGTGCAGTGGTGCCCTCAGCCCTCAGCTCACTGGCAGGTGCCACAGAACCTGCCCTGCCAGGAACCAGCCTGCACCTCAGCAACGCTGGCCTCCCTGACATGTCTGCAGAGGTGGGAGAGCCCCTGGGGATGCCCTGTCCTCCAGCCTGGGGCCTGCCACTCTGGCCGTCCCCACAGATGCCCCCAGACTGTTGCACACAGATTTCCAACATCTTTGATCTCTTCCTGCCAAAACCCATCTCACTCTCTGGGCCACCCCACCTGCCCCTGCGGGCTACCCACTCTCAGCTGGGGGCTTCCAGGGGCAACAGGCTTCGGGAAGAGGGACATGTGACTGGGAATGGCATTGGGGATCAGGCTGAGCTGGCCCAGGGGGAAGTGGGGGGAAGCGGGGAGCCACGGCAGGGCGGGGGATTCCCAGAGCCGGAGCTGGCGCCCTGCTGGGCCCAGCACAGAAGTCCACACAGAGCACCTTGCTGAAGCCGTAGAACTGATTTCACGGCTCACAGCCCAGGAGCATGACAGACACATGCCCCTCCTTAGGAGCCAGGGTTGCCCGAGACAGCCTGGGACAGAGTCTGCAGGCCAAGGTCTGCGTGCTGGGGGACGGAAGGAAGGAACCCCGCTGACTCCACACAGACCACGTGGACCACCACTCACCATGCCCCACGAAAGGGGCACCATCTCCACACCTGACCTACAGGTGAGGACTCTGGGGTACAGGAAGGTTACGTGCTGCCCAGGGCCCTACTGTCACGCTGGGACACAAGCACAGGCTCTGGCTCCAGGGTCCGTGTCTGAGTGGCACCCACAGAAGCTGCACCCCCCCAGGGCTAGGCCACAGGCCCCCGTTGGACCCTGCCCAGCCCCCACGCACCTCCTGAGTTGAAACCCTGCACAGCAAGGCCTTTGGGAACCTCATAAACTGAGCAGAATTAGTGGGCAAGCCTGGGCCTGGCTCAGAGGTGGCAGCGGCCACAGCAAGTCCTGGCCCCCAGCCACCCCAGCCCCCTTGCCCCGCACCTGCACACCTTCCCTGCCTCCCACCCCTGCTCTCCCCGCCTCCCCTTCCCTGCCGCACCCCTTCCCCACCGAACACACCTTCCTTGCACTCCAGAGCCACACGGGACTCCAGGTTATCCATCTGGAGCTGCAGCCGCTTGAGGGTGCGGTCAGCATCCCGGGACTTGCGCTTGTAGGCGATGAGCACGGCCACAATGACCAGCAGCAGGAGGCCCCCGCCTCCGCCAATGCCCACGATGGCAGGCAGTGTCAGCAGGCTATCTGAGTAGACCTGCAGCATCCCTGGTGAGAACTCAAAGCCACCAGCTCGAACCTGTAGGGAGGTTAGGGGACACAGGCCACTCAGGAGGTGCCACACCAGCTCTGAGCTCCACAGCCCCCTGGCTCTGCCCCAAGACCCCCATGGCGCCTACCCCCAGCACAGAGTAGGCACCAGGCCTGGGAGAGGGCCAAGGTGGGCTCCCTCTGGGCTGGGGGCTCAGTCAAGAGTCGGGGTTGCCCTGCATGTGGCAGAGTCAGTAGGTCATAGGCAGGCATGGCCCAGGAGACCAGAGCTGGGGCTGGGGTCTGTGGACGCACCGTGACCTTGTGCTGCCCAGTGAGGTTGGGGGACTCGCAGAGCAGCTGCGTCTCTGACACGGTGAGGGCACAGGGTGTGGAGCCAATGAGCACTGTGTAGTTGAGCCGAGAGTTTCCAGGTGCGGGCGGCAGAAGGTTCCGACCCTGTAGGGGGTGGAGGTGAGCCAGAGCACCCGCCGCCCAGCCTGCCCCACCCCACAGCTGCGGCCCACCTTGAGGATGAGTGGGGAGCTGGGCTTCAGCTCCAGGAGGCCAGTGGGGCTGAGTGGCTCCAGCACAGGGTCGGGGTAATAGAGGAAGGAAGAGGTGTTGAGCACCAGCAGGGCGCGCACATCATCCATGACAAAGCCCAGCTCATCCGGCCGCTCCCCCAGCTCCGGCGGGCTCCGGGTGGGGTTGTCCACTGACGGGGCCCGGCACACCATGGTGGTGTCATTGTACACCAGGCAGCTCTGGGGACACAGGCACGAGGACACTGGGCCAGCTGCTCCCCACATGGAGCCTGACTCCAGCACGGCCAAGGGGCGGCCTCAGCTGCACACGGGCCCCCCTTCCTTCCCTGGGGCCTCCAAACACAACATGGTGGCAGGAGCCACCCAGGGACCCAGGCAAGGACTCACATTCTCCCTCTCAACGCCTCCGTACTTGGCCCGGATGCGGGGCTCACGGACGGTAGCCAGGTTGGTGCCCGTAACTGTTAGGAGGGTCCCTCCACTAGAAGATGAGAGGGTGGGGGTCACAGGGCGGAGCTCCAGGTGGGGCCACACCACCCAGCTCCCCCACAGACAGCCAGCAGGCTACAATCTCTCGGCCCCGGAACTCTGATTACAGCAGGCACATCTGGGGGGTGGACAGGGCTCCACTGTCCTAAAACCTGTGGCCTGGGCATCTCATTTTTTATTTGATTTGTGCTTTTTTTAAAGATCGTGACATTACAGGGTTTAGAGGAATTTTGTTTCCTTGATTTCCCAGGTTGTTGCATCCAGGGCAGAGCAGCAGCTTCAGTCCTAAAGTTTTTTGTTTCTGCTCCTGAGCCAGGCACCAGCATTACAAGGAAGCTCCATCAGAAATCCAAGTGGTTTTTCTGCTCGCCCCAAAAAACCATGGTGGTAGGGCCACGCACATGAAGCCAAAAGGAGAGCCCCGTGCAGGGCTCCATCCCCAGGCTGCAGGCAGGCCCACCTGCTGATGCTCCACTCAGGGTCAATCTTGAGGATGGTGGGGTCCTCCGTGTAATTATACTTCACTTCAGGGTTGGTGAGCTGAGCGCGGTTGATGTTTATGACAATGGGGGTGCTGCCAGGGCTCTGCCCAGGGGGTGTCAGGCACCGGATCTCTCGGGAATTCCTCCTGGAGGGGTCGGAGGGAGAGTGAGGACGTGGCTGCTGAAACTCTGCTCCAAGATGGGCTCAGCAACTAGGCTCTATCACAGATAGGAGTTGGGCTAGTTAAGGACTCCCAAGCCTCACTTGCCCACCTGTAAAATGGGGACAAACTGGAGCTGCCTGCAGGTGGCTGATGACTGTTACAGCCACCTTGCTATCTCCCCTCCAAGGGTCCTTGTGCATGTCTGCCTCCATTTGCCCAGCCTGGCTCTTGCCCTGCACACTGCCCAGCAGAGGGGCAGGACCTGTTCCCTGTGCTCACTCTCCTGGTGACCCTGCCACCTCTGAGGCGTCAGAAAGCAAGCCTACCCACGACTGGATGGGCAGGAATCCTGCCCAGGTGCACACTGCTAGTGGGCCTGCCAAGCAGGAAGGTAGCTCACAGGGGTCTCAACACAGCCCCGCACCAGCCCAAGCAGTTGCCCAGGAAGGCCGACAGGATGGCGCCTGAGGGACCCTGACCTTCTGCCTGCTGCAGCGTGGCCTCCACAGAGCCTGTGGCCTCTGCAGCTGGAAGCCAGGGCCCCATTCAACACCAGCTCTTGCTGTAGTGCGTGACACATACACCTCCCGCTCTACACTGCCCCAGGCCTGGGCCGTGAGGAGGCAAAACAAGCTTGTCAGGGTCGGAGCACTGGGTCACCCCCTCCAAGCAGCCAGCTGCCTACACCTGGGTCCCTGTCCTCTCAGCTCCTTCAGCACAGCCGGGAGGCCCCGCAGCCACCAGGCCCGCTCGTGCGGCAAGGCTGCAAACACCAATAATTAGTCTGATAGCGGGTAATTACCACAGGAAAATATTTAAAGGGCCGCTCCATTATCATCCCTAATCTAAAATTATCCACTTCAAGCCTCAGAGCTTTTGTTAAGATTTCCTTTTTCTCTCTTAAGAAATTTTCTTAAATACTTATGTTTCCAAGGGATCCCCCAACCCCAGTACAGGGTGGTGGGCCCGCCCTTGGGCCCAGGCCCCGCCCACCTGCCAGTCCTGCCTCTTCGCTGGGAGGGGGGGGGTGCCTGCCTCCACTGGTGCCTGCCTCTGCCTCTGGGTTTCCATAGTGATCACCTCAGCTAGGTTCTCTACACCCTCCCATGTTTCCCAGGCAACGGGAGGGGGCACACAGCCATCTGAACCAACCACCACCAGGGAAGGTGGGCCCGGCCCTGGACCCCACCCCGGTCTGCACCTCGTACCAGGAGAAGGAGCAGGGCCGGCCGCCGACAGACACAGCCACGTCACTGCCTGCATTCAAGTGGCTGCCCTCAATGCCAATCCAGGTCCCCCCCGAAAGAGGCCCTCGGGCAGGGCTCACGCGGTAGAAGGTTGGAGTCTACGGGAAGAAGGAATTTGCTGGAGCTCCAGGGAAGGCCTGCCTGCACCTCCAGCCATGCCCCACCCTATGCATACAGTTCTGAGACAGCCCATTGCGAGGCCCAATGTGCACGGGGTCCCTGGAGTTAAGCCTGGAGACCAGGAGGTGGGGGCGCCCAAGAACGAAGAAGACAGGGAGCCCTGCACTCATGGGGGCCCTGTGCAGAGCCAGCTGGCCCAGGGCTTACCACAAAGGTGAAACGCTTGGGCGACAGGGCCCGGTAGTGGGGGGAGCAGTCCCGCACGCACACCTCCACCAGGGCGTCGTGAGCCCGCACCGTGCTGGCGTCCCCGATCTCACAGACGATCCTGCAGGTACCAGCCGGGCCTCAGCGAGCTGTGGGGTCCAGCACAGAGGCCGGGCCTTCCCCGCCCACCGCCCCAGCCCGCGCTGCACTCACTGCTCGGCACTGATGTACTCGCTCTCCAGGGGGCTGCATAGCACCTTGCCCACGCGCACGCCCAGCCGCACGTCCTCGAAGCGCAGTCCCAGGTTCTCACCCATGATGGTGAGCCGTGTGCCTCCCTGACGTGGGCCCGTCTCGGGGGACAACTGCAGGGATGTGGAGGCTGGGACGCTGGCCAGAGCCACCGAGTGCAGGGCAGGCATCAGGGAGGGTGGCAGCCCCGCCTGGTGGCCCTGGAGGCCTGCCTACCTTGAGGATCTTGGGGTCAGCACAGCGGCTGCCGCCATGGCGTGCGTGCATCCAGGCAGCAGGCGAGTCAGCAGGGCAGTGGGGGCGCAGGGAGCAGCGGCGCTCGGCCACACACCAGCCACACTCGAAGCGCGGGTCGGCCTTGAGGCAGAGGCCGCAGCTCTCCCGCAGGGCCGGGCACTTGTAGAGGTGGGCTGCAGGGAGGGGTCAGTCAGTTTAGCCCACCCACCACCCCACCCGCAGGGCCACCCTGCCAGGCTCACCCTGGATGTTCTGAGGGTTGTCGATGACGAAGTTGCCATTCCACACAACCGACAGGTTCACGGGCAGGTCGCTGATGTCACTGCCCTCGTAGGAGTACTGCAGGCAGTGAGCAGGGTGGTCAGGCCATGTGGCGTGGCCCAGGCTCGTTGCAGGCCACTGCCTGTGGGTCAGGGCCTGTGTGCCCCTCCTGGCCACTTCTGGGACCACTCCTGAGAGTGGGCCTCTCAGGGCAGGGTCTGGGGGCTCTCTGTGTCCAGACTGGCATCTCTAGTCTGAAGCTGGACACCCCAGAGCTGCCTGCTCACTGGCCAGCCCACCCAGGGCACTAACCCTCTGCCCCTCACTCACCCCATGCGGCTTCTAGCCAAGCCTCTGTCCCTAGCAGCCACAGGAGGCACTCCCTCCAGGGCATCCTCCCCCTTCCCCTGTAGTCACCCAGCCAGAGACCAGGACGACCCCACTGGCCCCTGATGTGCCAGGAATGCTTGGTGAAACCACTTCTTCATCTACACTGGCCCACCCTGGGGTGTGGGCTCTGTCCTCTATGCCCTGGGCACAGGACGCACTGTCAGGTGAGTCCCTGGCCCTGTGCTACCTCTCCCCTGGGAGCCTAGGCCTGGTCCTCCCAGCTGCACCCCACTTTCTGCAATTGGGGATCCCCACTCCATCCCAGAGCAATTCATCATGAGTTTATCTGTGGGGATTTGATTGGCTACTATCGAAGTCCCTGGTACTCCCTTTTCCCTTTAAACATGGCTGCTGCAGGGAAGATAAATGTGGCCTGGTGAGAGGGGAGGGTGGGAGGGGGCAGAAGCCATGACAGCAGGGAGGGGGAATGGACACGGCAGGGCAGACGGGAGGGCACCGGGACTCTAGGGCCAGCCGTGGGCACAGATGCCCACTGAGTGGCTGACCTGCCCCCAGCAGCCTGCTGTGACCCCAGGCCCCAGACATCCTGCTAGGACAGGCAGGTGGCCTGCCACTGCTGGCAGGAGGCCAGACATCTGACCTCAAGGCCCCTTTCCTGGGATTCTAGGGGGGGAGCAAAATGCAGGCCTATAAACAGCCCAGAGGTGCTCCCACCACGGGCCTCAGCCAGCCCCAGCAAATCCAATGCTGTCCTGATGACTGTGCCTGGACAGGCAGGAATCGAGGCCTGCTGGTGGGCACGGAGTGGGCCCAGGCTGGGCCAGCTCAGCAGTTCCCTGCCCGCCGGGGAAGGCTTTGGCTCGCAACCATCCCCGGCACTAGACTCTCTGGACTGGATGAAAGGTTTTTAAAACATCATCGTATGAGCTTCCAGGCTCCGAATGGAGCTGCTGCTTGGCAGGTGGGCAATCCCAGCCTGCTGGTGCACAAACGCTCAAGAGCCCTGAAGTTTCTGCATCCGGCCGAGACACATAGGAGCTGGGCTCTGGGCTCATGCCTGGCTGTTGCCCTGGCCCCTGCCCCCATGGCCTCGCCACCCACAAGGGACACCCCTCGTGGTGTTGGGACACCCCACATCTGCCTAGTCCGCGTTTTTCTTGGCTGCCCACATCCACACCTCAGACGTGTGCCCTCTGGTGTGGCAGCCCCTGCGGCCTGCCCACTGCACACCCAGGCACACCTGGGGTGTGGCGTGGGCCTGGAGGGGAAGCTGATCTCTCTGTGGGCCGGCCTTTTACTAAGGACAGAAACTGGACCTTGTGGCTGAGGGAGGTTCACCCGCCCCAGGCTCCTGCTGTGCCCCGGGGTCCGCCTCACCGAGGAGTTCTGGCACTGCAGGCTGGAGCTGTTGAAACGCAAGGCGGTGACTCGGGCCGGGCTCCCTGGGGTGTGGAAGAGACACTCGTAGCCACGCTGGCCAGACTGCGGCTGCGGCAGGTTCCGGGCGGCCAGGGTGATGGGCTTCACCACACCCACCGGAACATAGATCTGGGTGGAGGGCAGGATCTGCGGGCAGTCCTGGGGGCAGCAAGGCTTTGGCTGAGTAAGTGCAATGAGCGGATGTACCCCACTGCAGCCCAGACCATGGCCCCTGCACGGAGCCTGCGCTTTTCTGGGCAAGTACAGCTGGACCCCCTTTACAAACCCCACTGAGGACTCCCAAACAGCCAGCAGGGTGGGCGGCGGGAGGCCTGGGCTCTGCTCCCCCAGGCTGTGGCTGCACACTGTGTCCTTGGGCAGGCCCTCTCTCCTGTGGGCCCAAGGGCCACTCCCAGGGTTCTGGAACCCCACCGTTCAGCCACCAGTAGGGCCCCATCTGGCCTGCAGCTGAAAGGCATTTGAGGCAGAAGCAGCTGATAGAGGGGCACTGGGGCTACAAGCTCTCAGCTGGGGGCCTGGGAGCGTGTAAAAATAGCCAGAGCCAGGCAGAAAAACAGCTGGGGACCCCAGGGCCAGCATTTCAGCAACAATAACTGATGCAACAGCCCAACTTCCTTGCAGCAGGGCAGGCAGCAGCCTCGGGAGGAGACGGCCCCACGGGGACGCACTGAGCTGGGCTTTAAATAGAGATGCTGAAAACAGGCCCTAATCCCCAAGCCCTGCAACAGCTCCCAAGGCAGGCCTGGGCCCAGAACTGGCTCTAAAGAGGTTTTCCAGGCCCAAGGAGGGGGCCTGGACTCTGTTCCGGTTCCTCGGGAGTGCTGGGGGAAGCACAGGTAGCCTGGCCCAGCCAGGCAGGCTGACCACCCACCACTGGGTCTGCAGGTACACCCATCTCCACCAGAGGGAGGCAGGTGATGGTGATGTGCAGGGCCACGCCCTCAGGGGCCCACAAGTATGCCAGCACTTCCCTGGCCATTTGAAGGGACCCCCAGGCCAGCCCTATGCCCAGGGACTCTGCTGCCCAGGGGGCCAGTGCCATCTGTCTGGGGTGTACGCTCTGTGCCTCCATCGGGCTAGATTCTCACTGTGGCTAGGCCTCGACACCAGGGACCCCAGCCATGAAGATGGGGTGAGCTCAAAGCCCTGACATCCCTCTCAGGCCTGGAGTGGCCTGAGGCCCAGCTGAGCTAGGACACAGCTGGGAGAACAGCACTGAGCATGCATGCTCAGTGGTGCATCAGGCTGCTGCTCCTCAGCAGGCCTGGCCTCCCTCACTCAAAGGGCTCTGAGCTGTGAACTGGCAGGTCTGGGAAGTAAGCGCGGGGGCACAACTGTGTTCACTGATTCAAGTCGGACTTCCACTCACTGACTTACAACTTTTGGCTTAGATCAAGTAAAAACTCAGAACGCTGCCCCTCCATTCTACTTCTGAAGATGGTAGGACCAGCCCGTCGAGGGCCAGTGCCTCCCGTGGTGAGACTGCTGAAGGGTAGACCACCCCTCCCCGCTCCTGTAGAGGCCAGCCCTGCGCATCCCTGGCAGAAAGTCCTGCCTTCTGGGTTTGGCCCGCCTCTGGGTGAGCAGACACTGCTTCTGGGGCACTCCCGCCAGCCGCCCCCATCATACACTGCCCTCTCCGCCTCTTCCCTGATGTGCTCTGGCAGCTCCACTGTGAGACACTGGGCAAATGTGCATGCAAATACAGAGCACCAAGGGTTCACTGGGACCCCCTCCTCCTACGGGGATGGGAAGCTGGAGCAGACATCGGGGACTGGGAACCAAGACCCCACAATATAAGCATGTTCCTGGGGCAGGAGCCACCCCGGAGAAAGCAAATCAGAATCAGAGATGGGGGCCTCAGGGCGAGGGGCCCCAGTCCTTCTGGACCCTGTGGCCGGTAACTCTGCGTTGTGTCACACTCCTAGAAACATCCCCATAAAGACCCCTCATGCTCCAGGACCCCAGCACAGGTGGACAGTCCCCTCCCTGCATTGTGCCCCCATCACTCTGGTCTGCAGCCCCTACACAGCCCAGGGGCAGGGGCAGGCCTGAGGCCTCCCCTGAGGGGTACACAGGAATCCCAGTGGCTGCCGACCAACGTCACCCATTCCTACACGACCCTTCTTGGACCCCAGGACTGCCCCTAGCCCAGTCCTGCTCAGGCAGACTCCTCAGGAGGCACCTACATAGTCCACAATAGGGTCCCAGGGCTCCAGGGTCACCAACTCCCAGAATCAGCCCTACCAGCTTCCTGCTGCTCCACAGCCCCTGCCCACCTCCAGGACACCTTTACCCAGTGCCCCCACCCCAAGCTCTCAGACACGATCACCCCCAAGTGCCCAAAGGCCCTGCATGACCTCAGGACTGCCGTCGTGTTCTGGCAGCCACCCAGCACGTGCTGCACTTCATCTACCCCAGGCCTGTCCGGGGACGTCCAGTCCAGCAACAGCCCTCAAGCACCCTGTAGCCAGCAGGACCCATACCCTCCTGACACATCCAGCCAAGAGTCATGGTATCCACCCTGAAGGAAAGGACCCTGGCTTCAAGTCCTGGCTCTGTGCCTATAAGCTGGACATGGGGAGCCTGGCCTCTCTCCATTCCCTGCCAGGCAGGTCCCCAGATCAGGCCATTCTTGTTCTGAGAGCCTTGGGTTCCAGGAGGAGCAGCCTTGCTGTTCATAAATAAAGACAGCTCCTTGCCCAGGCTCCAAAATAATTACTACCTAATTACTATCAATTACCACGCAGTTCCTCAAATGACTCCAGGAACCCAGCAGCTGCCCTGCAAGTCAGCCTGGCAAGTCCCCCATCTGCATGGACTCAGGGCACCGGGCCCTAAGCGCCTGCCGAGCCAGACCCCTCGCCCTCTGTGCTTCCAGCACGGGGTGAACAGCCCCTCCCTGCATCATCCCAGGCGTCGCTCTGGTCTGCAGTTCCCTGCACAAGCCTAGGGGCAGGCGCTGGTCTGAGGCCTCCCCTGAGGAAACCCAGTGGCCGCCGACAAACACTGCTGCTGGCCTCAGGCCAATACAGCCTTGAAGGATGTCCCCAGCCGCACAGGCCTTTGGGCCAGTGTCCCAGCCACCCATAGGCAACACCCAGTTCTGCCACCCCTCAGAAACCCTGAGCCCCCCTCATGGCCTTACCTCAGACACATTGACACGGCCCTCCAGGAAGGCACAGTCGGCAGCATTGTGTGTGCAAACATGGCGGTATTTACACCAGTGGCAGGGGAAAGAGCCGTTGACACAGGACAGGCAGCTGCAGGGAGAGGGCAGGGCAGTTAGGTGAGGGCCAGCCTGTGTCTCCACCCGGTGGCCACATGGGGCCCTGCCACCTCCCTGTCGTTCCTGTTCACAGTGCCTCAGGGCCTTTGCACTGGCTACTCCACACCTGCTCAAAGGCCTTCCCTTTGTTAGCTGTTCTCAGTAGCCACTGCTTCTCCACTGCTTTTCCTCCAGATCCTCGACTACCTTCTGACAGTCCACCCCAGAGTCGGCCAACAGAACTTTCCCAATGAAGGTACATCTAAATCTTGCACCATCCCCTGTGGTGACCACCAGATGCACCAGGCCCCACGTGACAATTAGCACTGGGAAATGTGCTGGCACAAGTAAAGAACTGCATTTTAAATTCCACCTCCTCTTAATTAACTTCGCCTTAAATTCAAGCAGCCACCAGCAGCCACAGGGCTGGGCAGAACATACAGACATCTGCCTCCCCAAAGAGAATGTAAGCTCCCCGTAGCAGGAGCTTGTTCAATTCATTCTGAACATGCCGAGAGACTGGACAGGGCCCGTGCAGTGCTCTGGCCTATGCAGCCTTATATGGCTGGCACCCCACTGCCACTACAGCCTCAGTGGTACCCAGGGCTCCCCAGTGGATGCCACCCTCCAGCTTCTCTCAAGACATCACAATCCGCCCCAGCCACCCTGCTTCTCCAGAGACCCTCAGTCCCCTCCAGCTCTGGAGCACAGCCCCCTGCTGCAAGGACCCCAGCCCTCCCAGGACAGAGCAGTTGACTCTGATAATAACAACATCAAGGTCCACAGTGGGCACCCCATTAAGAGCCAGGAGGAAGTCGGTCTGCAAGTCAGTCAACAATACAGGCACAACTAAACACTAGGTACCTCTGGCTGGTAGGCTGAACCCCATGGCCTATGTGGGCCCTCTCCATGCCACTCACGGTCGTCCAGGCTGGGCGCCCTCCAGGTCAGGGACAGGGCTGACGGCACCCCTCTGGACCCAGTGGTCTGACCCATGGTGCTGGTCTGGCACAGTAGGTGCTCAGCTTCCCCCACCCTTCCTCTGAGGTGCCACGCTTACAGCTGAGACCCACCCACCCCAGGCCAGCACCAGGGAGAGCTCCCATCCCTGGCTCTTTCTGCCCCAGGTCCCCACCCGAGAAGCCACAGAGGCAGAGAGAACCTGGCCCCTATCTGTCCTAGGGCAGCAGAAACCAAGCAGGAGCGGCCCATCCCACCCCACGGCTCAGCCACTCCTGCCTAGATGTTGCCGCAGCCTCCCATGAGCTCCCAGCCTGGCTCTGGTGCCCATGGGCCATGCCCTGTATCACAGTGACTGGCAGACTCCATCTGTGAATCCATCTGCACCTCACTCCCACCCTGCCTGAAGGAGGCCCCCTGCCTGACACTGGTGCAGGAGGACCAGGGACACTCACGACTGGTGGACGCTACAGTTGTAGAAGACAAAGTCCACAGACGCGAACTTCTTGCCTGTCTCCTTGGACTTCAGGTAGAGCTTAACCACCCGCTGGTCTCCTGCAGAAGCAGCACAGGCCCCAGTCACCAGAGCCACCCAGGATACGACGGCCTGCAGTCCCTTCCCACTGAGCAGGCATCTGCTCCTTCCCGTGCTACCCCAAGGGACACCTGTTCGCTGTCCCCCAGTGCCGTCCACCTCCCCACCAGGAGAGCCCCAGCCCATGGGGGCACTCACCCTGGCCCCGTGTGATGGGGGCCACCTCCCTAGCAGAGGGCGAGCGGCAGTGGATCTGGCCACCCTCCAGGATGCTCTCAGACTCGGTGAAATCCTCAAAGGAGCAGTTAACACCAGCCGAGAGGTCAGGCACGTTCCAGGCCTGCAGCACAAGCTGGGGCCCCATGGCAGGCGGTGTTGGTGAGTGACACTCTGGTGCCCCCGCCAGTGCCCCCACCCCCAACCTGGGCAGCTGCACTCACCGGAACCTGAGACATGGTGACAGAGACATTGCGAGGCTGCACCGTCAGCTGCACACACTGCAGCAGGTCCGAGGCAAAGCGCTGGGGCTCCTCTGCCCGCTCGCAGGCGTCCTGCCGCGAGCAGCTGTGGGCAGAGGGTGCCAGGGCTGGGTGCAGGCAAACAAGCAGAGGAGTTCCCCCAGCCCTTTGGCCCCTGCTCAGGAGGGCCGTCACCTGCACCTTCTCTGCACCTGCTGGCTTCTCTGCACCTTGTTTTTACTGGGGCACTGACGCTCAGCAGGTCACCGGAAACCACCCAACCCAGCGTGCCTTTCCCAGGTGGGGAGGACTGCAGGAGCTCAGAGGGGAGCTGGGACCACCCGAGACCGCCTGGGGTCAGAGACCACCAGGCTGGGACGTTCAGGCCCTCCAGGCCATCCCCATGCCCTTCCCAGACTCACATGCTATGCAGGACACACCAGCCACAGTGGGGGTCCCGAGACCCCAGACACAGCTCACAGGACGTATACTGCACACAGCTCTCCACGGGCACACGAGTCACCTGGCGGAAGGCAGACCTCGGCATCAGACCCCCACCAGGCCCAACCCAGAGGCCCCGCCAGCCTCAGTTCCTCACCACCAGTATGTCCCCAACCCCACCCAGTTCTCCCCACATGCTGGGGGAAGCCCCGATTTTGGGTCTTCCTCCAGCTCAGTCTATGCAAAGGCTGATCTGGGGGGACTCTGACTCCACCCAAACGACTGGGCCCCTCCCCTGGGAGACCGGGATGGCAGAGGCCATTGAGCGGGTCTGTACAGGTAGGCCACCCAGAGGACAACCCACAGCTCCAGCCAGCTACCCACACACGCTTAGACTCAGCTTCCCAAGGCAGCCCCCAGGCACGAGGCCAGCGGGCCCTGCTCACTCTGACCTCACCTGGAAGGCCCTGAGGTCCCCTGTGAATAACCCCACAGCCAGGACACGGACAGAGGAGAGCTGGCCAAGAGAGAAGGGGCCCTGGCCTCACCAGATGTGTTCCTAGCCTGGGCCACCTGTCCCCCACCCTGCCTCCCCAGCTGCCATGGGGTCACCAGGTCAAGCAGAAGGGCAGAGGCTGGCTCCAAGCAGGCTAGGCCAGGAACACAAGTATGTGGCTACAAGCTGGGCTGGGCTAGCCACAGGCCCCGCAGTGGCTGCTCCCAGGAGCCCCACAGGGCAGATGAGGCTTGTGGTGGGCCAGGTAACAGCCCAAGACTCAGGGCTCCAGATCCATACCCCAAACCCTCCAGTGATACTAAAACCCTGATAATGCTGTCATTCAAATACCAGTTCCCGTGGGCATGTAGTCATTCAGGAGAGGGTGGGAATGGCCCAGGAAAACCTGGAGACGGCATGGACAGCATGGGCCAATGGCAGCCATGCCCAACTCTGGGGGCAGGCCCACCCGACACGCATTCCCCAATGGGACACCCACCTGCTTTTCCGTCATGGCGTAAAGGTACTGGTGGTCAGGGCTGAGGACCAGGTCACGCAGGATGGGGCTGCTCTCTTGGGCCACCACACTCTCATAGGCCAGGGCTGGCCGGCCGCCAGGGGTTGCCAGGTCCACCAAGATCTGTGGCAGCCAGGGTCTGAGTGGGGCCGTGTCAGTGTCTTCCTGTCCCAGCCCCACCCTGCTTAGGGTTGAGGGTCCAGTGTCCTGCCCCAGCCCTGCAAGAACAAGGCCGAGGCCCCCACGCCGCCCCACAGACTGTGGGGACAACCCAGGGCCCCATCTAAAGAGGCCACAGCCAAGAGTGGAGTGTCTCTGGAGGCCACAATCACAGCCTAGCTGCCACCAGCTATGGTGGGGCCAGGCTGGGCTTCCCGGAGGAACAGCCATTTGTGCAGGAGGAAAGGGAAGCCTGAAGAGGCAGCAGTGCCTGCAGGTGAGTGTGGCGCCCAGGCCAGGCAGCTGAGCGCGGAGACCCAGAGCCTCCAGGCAGGGGCTGGTGTGAGTGGGCTTAAGCCCAGGTCCTCGAGCAGCGGACACACCGCCCACCACACAGGCAGGAGGAGGGAGAGCGACTCATCAGCACGGAAATGTATTCCAGATCCCAAACAAACTGGGCATTAATTAGCTAGCTCTTCTCCACAGCTTGCAATGCTGCAAGTATTTTTAGTTGCTTTTACCAAACAAATGTATTTAATTAACAGAGAGACCCAGGGGGCTTTCCAGAGATGGGACTCATGGGGCGGCATCCGCCTAGCTCAGCGGGTCCCGGGCAGGCTCCCAGGGCAAGAAGTGGCCAGCCCTACTCCTCTCTGGCTATAACAGAGCAGCCAGCCCACCTCTGCACCTCCACCTCGGGGCAGGGGCCTGGCCCAGCACTCAGCCCAAGCCAGACTGGCCAGGCCGGGCTGCGGGGTCAGGTGAACACCCCAGACTAGGGCCAGCTCCAGCAGGGGCTGGGTGAGGGCGGCCAGCCAGGGTGGGGCGCTGCGTCTCAGGGATAGAGACTGCTGGCTGCAGGAAAGGGGGAGGGCCGCATTCCTGAGAGCCCGCGGCCACCCCCCACATCCGCTCAGCCGCCTCCCCACCAGGCAGGCCGGCTGAAGTCAGACCAGACCCGGAAGAGCTAGGCCTAGAGCTGGGCAGGGGGAGGGCCTATGGCCACCCTAGTGGCTTTAGCCTGCAGCGTCAGGGGCTGCGACAGTGGCCCAGCCTCAGCGCCCCAGTGGGTGGGATGTGGACAGGACCCCAACCTACATCCAGCCCACTCCACAAGCCTCCTGCCCTGCTTGGATGAGCAGCCAGAGGGCAGCTGTGGTTCACAGGAAGCCTGCAGTCAGTTCCTTGGGCTGGCTGGGCCCAAGCTCCAGCTCAGACACACCCCATCTGTGGCACCAGGATGGGATGCGGCAATGCTCTCTATCTCAGTTTCCCTACCTAGGAAGCAGGGATGATAGACATTATTCTCCACAACAGAACCACACTGAGGATTAAGTAAGGACCAAGCCAGAGTGACAGGCAGAGGGGATGTGGTGTGGCCAGGTCCCACGGTAATCACCAAACTCTAGCAGCCAGCCATACAGGCTGGCAAGACCAGCACAGGCAGTGGCCAGGGAGCAGGGCAGGACCTGGGTGCAGGCTGGGGCCCCAGTGGGGACCAGAGCTCCAGACCCAGTCTCAGCCCAGCTGACCCCATTCAGGACTCTGGACTTCTCTGCAAGCCCTGCCCTTCACTGTGCCCCATCCCCACAGTCAGGCCCACAGCCCTCCCGCAAGGACCCAAGCCTGGCTCCTCCCATCACGGGATGCCTGTCTCCAGGGACCAGGCTGGGTCCTGACCCCTGCCTGGCCATCCCTCCCCCACCGAGGGCTGAAGGCATGGGCTAGGGAGGGCACCCCTGACCCAGCAGGGAACAGTACAGGGAAGAGCACATCCAGTGGGCACACGACTCTGAGTCATGGCAGGGGTGGGCAGAGAGCAGGCCTACCCGGGGGCCTGGAAAGTAGGAGAGGGGAGGCAGGCCAGCCCCAGACTCAGGAATGCTCTGCCCCGTGGCCAGCAGTGGGCCGACTCTAACAGGTGGTTCCGAACAGCTGCTGTAGGGAGCCTGCATATCCAGCTGTCCATCCGCCATGTGCCCATCTGTCTACCCACCTGCCCAGCACAGGACAGCCCCTGGCCCTTGAACACACACAGGAAGGTCCTGGGGAGGGGAGTCTGTGGAGGGCACAGGGGCACAGCCTGCAGGCATGTGGGGGGATGTGCCAGAGGTGACAGGCCCCACGCTGTGCTGAGTAGATGTGGTACAGGCTTGGCAGGGCCCCTGTGTGTGCACATGATAGTCAGGGGGTGACCAGCTGGGAATGCCAGTCCTCGGAACACATCTGCTGTATCCTGGCTGGTTTTCGGGCTGCAGGGCCCATGCAGCACAGATAAGTAAACTGAGGCTCACAAGGGCCTGCCAGAGGACCCCAGGACCCCAGACTTCTAGTTGCACCTGGGGGCAAAGAGTCTATCCCAAAAGCTAGAGGAGGGGTGCAGCATGCTGCCAGGAGGGCATTCCAGGAAGAAGGGGCATGCAAGGAGGGCACACAGCCAGGCAGCTGGCAGGACTGTGGGACACATGTTGCCAGCAGCATGCGTGCGGGCTCCACACCCCTGCCTACAGCTGTCCACTTGAGGGCCACCTACCTGGTTGCAGCCCACCCTGGCAAAGCTGGGCCTGCAGAGCCCACAGACTTCTGGCGGCACCTGCCCAGCTCCCCCTGCAGCCGGCCCTCACCTCTGTGCCCTGCCAACTTTCCCCGACAGACCTCCAGAGCCGTCCACGACTGGCCATGTCTGCCCTCCCTCCCACCATCCACCACAAAACCCTCAGGGCCCAAACCCAGCTCTTTCTCTTTGCCCTGGTGCCTCTGCTAAAAAAGGACTCTTCCCCTCACCCAGATGGTCTGAACCATCCAGGCTCCCTGGGCACACCTGCCAGGTGGCACCAGGCCCAGGTACCTACTCAGGCTCAGCCCCGACTTAGAGGGGCCCAGCCACCCCCACACAGCCTCTTCCCAGCCCTGCAGCCCTGCCTACTTCTCTACCAGAATTTTCCCCATCCCTCTGTGCACAGGGGATCTCCCTGGATTCTGAGCTAAGGCATAAGGGCTTCCACGCCCCTAGGGAAGGGCCAACTCCAGCAGCCTCTCAGGCCAGGGCCAGACCAGATGCTGACCATGGCCAGATACCGACCACTATCACAGGGCACCACCTGCCCCTCCACAGATGGGCCAAGGAGGAGGCTCACCCCTTCACCTTCCCCAACCACCTGGCCAGCAGGCTCCAGGACCCAGGATACACAGGCGAGGGTCCTTGGGAAAGACCCTGCCCACGAGGCCAAGGGGAGGCAGCCAGTGACAGGTGGGCAGCCCTGGTCCTGGAGGCCAGAGCCCTAGGCTGGCCCAGCCAGCTGCCCCAGGCACCCACCACCTCCTGGCCCTTGCCAACTGCTGCAGCCCAGCCAGGTCAGCTGTCTGTCCAGCCCAGAGCCAACAAAGGGCCCATTCTCCAGGCAGAGGGCGGGTGGGGGTGCTGGGAGGATGTCTGGGCCATCCAGGCTGCTTGCCAAGGCCGGCACGCGCCCTAGCTGCCCGGAGGCAGGGGATTGCCCAGCTTGGGCCTGACTGGGTTGAGGAAAGAGTTCCCAGCCCCGCCCATCCCTAGATGGCAGCCCCTCCACTCCCATCTGTGCAGCGTGGCTCAGACTGAGCCCATTCCCGGTTTCCAGACCTGCTGTGGGGAGGACAGGAAGACAGGGCTGGGGAAGCGAGGGCAGCCAGCACACAGCTGGGACCTCATGGGTGTCCCCTCTTGTAGTAGGTGTGGCTGTCAAACCTGTTCCCAGGCCACCCAACAGCGAGGTGGTCCTGGGAGAGGCTGTTGGGGGGCCAGGAGCCTCTGCCGCCGTCTCTTCACAGGACCCTCAGGGGACACAGGGCTTTTCCTCCCCTCCTTCCCAGTTGGGGCCACACGGCTGAGGTCCTGGTAAGCCCAGCTCCTGGACCCCCTCACAGGCTGCTACATGATTTCTCCCTTCTCTGGCTGTAGGCAGGTTCCAGGCCCCTTCCTGGGACCATTCTCAGAAAGGAGGAATTTGATACTGGAAAAGCAATTAGCAATTTCCTTTTGGCAGTACTTGGGTAATTAAAACATGATTTGCAGGAGGGCCAATGGCTGTAATTGGGCCAGACACACCTGGTGAAGTTGGGGGGAGGGTCTCAGAAATCTCCTCTGTTCCAGCCTCCCACCCGCAACACACAGACAGAAAGCAAGGACCAAACAACACAAGTGGTGGTCCTCCCTGACCCTCAGTCTCCTCATCTGCAGAAGGAAAGCCAGTTCACAGGGCTATGTGAGAATTCAGAAGTCACAGTTCCAAAAATGGAGGAGGGAAGCCTGCTTAAAAGCTGCCTGGAGATGGGGCCCCAAGAATGGACCTTGCCACACGGCAGAGTGCAAAACTGCCTGACAGGGAACTGCCCCACTGCTGTAGGGATCACACACATGTCACTGACTGGGACTGTCCTCAGCTGGGATGTGGCCAGGGTGCCCACAGCAGCCTGAGATTTGACCAGCACCGGTCCTGCCAGGGATGCCGTGGCAGGCAGCAATGACCACCTGGTCAGATATCCTTATCCAAACCCAAGAGCCATCTTCTGCCACCCCACCCCACCCATGACTCCACAGCGCCCCACAGCACCCCACAGAGCCAGGCCCTCACAGACGCAGGTCACCCACCCACACCAACCAGCACGAGCAGGCAGACACAAGCCCCTTCCACTTCCTCCAGGCCACCTCAGGGCCCCAGCTCTCCGCCCCTACACAGGCCAGACCTCCAAAGCCTCTCCTACAATCCCGCAGGACATCTCCCTGCTACCACAGTGCTGACCACTGCAGATGGTCCCAGTCGTCCCCCACAGGTGGGGTAGGGGGTGCCTGAGGCAGGCCTGCTGCCTCTCCTCCCTCAGGACCTCCAGCTCCCAGAATGAGCCAGGGCACCTGTGGGCTTGGCCCTGCTGTTCCCTCCCCCACACACATCCCAGCCTCCTAGGCTGCACCACCTTGCTGTGCCGCC